CAGATGAAATTCACAGTTATTTTAATGTGGACAGCACTGAAAAGAAAAAATGAGAACAGTACTAACAAACATGCTTATAGATGCATGAGGGCAAGCATACACATCTGCATATAAATATTATATATGCATATCTTCCTAATGGAAGACTCTGATTATTAGGTGCGCTTGCCTAAACACGAACTCTCAGCTAACCAAGCAAAAAACCCTCTCTACATAAATGTGTGTTTACATACATACATGCATAAGAAAAATATATATCCAGTGCATAATTTCAATCTGTATGAATAGAGTGCAATAAAGTTTATTTTATTGTGCAAGCATAGTTTAAATTCCATTTTTATGCAATGATGCAGTGACAAGCTTCCTATAAAATAAAAATGGGTCACAAATGAAAATTCTTTAGCTTGTTGTTCTTACATTTTTTCCTAGTAATGAATACAGACTTCAACTTGCAAAAATATAAAATGATTCTGCTCTCAGTATAAAGGTCCCTCAAAAAATCAATTCCAATTTCATCTTTGTTTTAGTAAAAAAAATAAAAGAACAAAAAGATCAGGACTATAAATAATGACTACCTGTGGTTTTCATAAATAAATATCTCCAAAGCAGTGGAAATGCATGGATATTTTAGTTTCTCTTCCCTCATGAATTTGTTGTGTTGCAGGAATTTGTATAATTAGATGGCTAGATATGGTGTGGATTCAGATTCAGCCATTTTCTCCAAATAAAAACATATGTTTCCCTCTTTATGTTGCTTTTTGTCCTCTGGAATGCATTAACACTATAACAATGGAAAATGTGCAGTAATGTATGGTCTACCTATGATTTTTTAAAAAATCTCATAAATATGAATCTATAGGTAAAAGAAAGCTGTATAAGCTTATGTCCATGTCATAAATCATCTCTCCTTTGTTTAAAAAAAAAAAAAAAAAAAGATGTGGGGGAGGAGGAGGGAGTGAGGATTTTCTCACTGGAACCATTTCATCTTGTCTGGGGAGGGCTAAGAAATACAGCCATTGACACTTACCTAGATATTTTTACTACGTCATGTCCCATTCACTGTTCCTCAACAGGAGGGATGTTTTCCTTCTCTTAATTTTCAGGAAAGGGGAATCTTGTACTGTTTTCTAGCCTTGTAAGAGAGAAATGACTGCCTGTCATCCTACCCAGGTTACAACTTTAACTCATGATCCCCCCAACTCAAGGAAATAAGTAGATAACATGACATTGCATGCAATGTGAACTGATTTGGGATACTTTCAGTTTAGTCTCTGTGGTCTGGGGAAATGGATACATCTTGATTCTTTCAATAACTCCATATGTCTTTTATTTTGGGGTCCAAGCTGTGTTTGCCTAGAGAAAGACAAATATACTAACCAACCTTGCATATACACCAATGAAGAGAGTAGAAACTATATTATTGCATTAATTGCATCTCATAAAGGTAGTATTATCTAGAAAAAAGAAAAACAGCTTAGAAACCAATATCTTAGCTGTTGGGGCTTGAGTATCTGGCTTCTAATAATACCACACAGGAAATATTGGTGTGCTGCAGTGTTTTATCCTTCTCTTTCTCCAGGGCAGATTGGTACAGCCAGCACTTCATTCCTGAAAAAATATCCATGTGAAATGGATTGCTAGATTTAAATGTACTACCCAGTGTTGCTGACTAATATAATGTAATTCTGTCCCTTCCTCACCCCTCTGTAATCAACAAAGCATGCACAACAGTGGAATGTTTCACAGTAATTTTGGTGATGTTTTGTTTTGCTTGATTGGAAAGTATTTCTGAGGAGGATAAATAAGCTCGCCACCAAGCTCTCCCCTCTATTTGCCTTGCTGACGTTGCAGAGAGTAGTTCACTACAAGATGTCAAACAAGGAATACAGTAGGCTGGGATGCTTCAAAGGGAACAAAATTTGCAGCTCAGTGGCTTCGGCTCCCATCTGTATTATTAGCACCGTATAGATTTAATAATTAGGTGATTGAAGACATTTTGATGATGGAGTGGTTTCTATGATCTGCAAAAGAAAGCATCTGTTTTCCTCATGTACCAATTAATTATTTATACAGCAGAAAATACAGTAGACTACCTTGAAGATGAGCAGTTTGGGTGTTTCTGTAAAAAGACCAAGGCATGGCCTGAAAATTATGTCATTCTGACCTTCAAAGTCTCTAAAACAATTATTTTTCAGACATAGAGTAAACAAACAGCACTCTCTTCTGTCTTCACTTCCACCTCACTGTTTGCCCTCCTGTCCTCACCGAGGGCCTGTCAACTTAAACACCACCTTTCATTTTATTTTCCATTTCGTGCCTATGTGTTTTATTAGCACCTTTTTCTATTTTACAGTCCACACTGATTCGACATCAGCTTCATCCCTTGTAAGCTCTACTGTTCAGCCTAGGCAGACTTATGCATTGTGGGAAATATGCAAAACACTCAAACCTTTTTTTTTTTTTCTGTGATTGTCAGACGTGGATTCATTTTGGGAAATATATATTTCCAGAGGCTAGGACTTACTAAAGTTTGCAAATCAAAGAAAAGCGGATCCTTGGATCTCACAAAATGTGTTGCTTTGTATTATGACAATGGTGTTCACATGCCTGACATCCTCATAGTAATATTAAGCCCTTTTTTTTTCTAGCATTATGTACTTTATACATTTGTATAAATGTCACAGCTTGTAATCACTTCCTTTGTCATCGACGATTAATCTAAAAAAATCGAATAATTCACTGCCCCTTGCCATTTACATATCGCCTGCTACCATCTGTTCTTCTCAGCAGCAGTAAATGATGGGTAATTAACTCAGTGCCTTTGTCTTTCCCTTGCTGAATGTCTGACACATATAGATTTTCCTCTCTGTGTGTGTGTGGGTCTCTGTGCGCGTGTGGCTGCGTGTGTGCGCGCTTGTATGTGCGTAGGAAAAGGAGAGGGGGATAGGAACAACAGAGAGAGAAAAAAAAGATGCTGTAAGCCTGACCTGAGGAAAAAAAAGAGTCAGTACAAAAACATTTGCAAAGGAGAAAGCAGAACAGAAATGTTGGGGCTGCGAAGCGACTTCATCACGTGGCCTTTTACTCTCTTAATGTCAAAAGAAAGTGGAACTTGGCTGCAGACAACAGCAGCCCTGCGCATGCAAGTACCCTTTTATAAAGCTGTAAGGTCAAGGTCAAGATGCAGCAGCCAGAGAAAGCTTCATATGCTCCTCTTGTCAGCCCAGGTGCAAAAGGGGAAGATGAAAATGAGGCCAAATGGAGGGAATACACAATGCCATTTGGCTCCTGGACTAGAAGCCAGAAGGTTCACAACGTGTCATATTGAAACTATGATATAGTGGTTCTGCATATTGCATCCTTAGACAAGCGAGCACGAGGCAATATGCAGTGCATAATTAAAAAAACGAAAGCCATATTCGAAGCGCTTTTTGCCCTTCCTGCTAAACACTACAAGCCACTCTGCCACAGGCTGTGGAAGGGCAGGAAAAGAAAGCATTCCCTTGCTATCACAGGAAATACGATAGCGCAAGCAGCATCTCCCAGACGGTCTCTGATATTGTTTATAAGGAAAGGAAGAAGTAAAAATCTGAAAATAGTTCAAAATACTTTTTAGTGAAGGTTTTTAAGATGGAAAAAACATAATCATGTGTCTGATTATTCACATGAATTTACTATAATTTATTTATCCTTAGGTAGTATCTAGAAGCCTCCTTTAGGGTTGAGGGCCACATTGTGCTAGGCATTGTAAAAGCATGCAATATGACATAGTATCACCACTCACAACATCCTCAGGGGTTGGCCAATGCTGAGTGTGATGTGCAGTGTCTTTCACTGAAAGAAAAGAAAATGAAAAGAAAAAAAAAAAGAAAAAAAGAAAAGAAGAAAAAAAAAGAAATTAGTTCAATTTTAACGCGATCCTTTTAATCTCAGGGGAGTTACATTGCCTAAGTAGAACTTCATTCTCGGTCATTCTACCTGCATTATCTCTATGCCACATGTTACCACATGTGAAGCTCTGGGTTTTTAAACATGGGAGAAATAACAACTGGAGATAATTTCTCTATGATTCAAGACTTGCTCTTCCCAGTGCTCTGCCCAAAAGCACTCTCTTCCAGGGTTTTTTATAAGCCTTTCCAATCAAGGCCATGTTATTGGTAACATCTCTTGCTGATTTTACACAAGCTTTTTTTAATGGTTGTACATCTCTCCAGCTTTCCTTCTATTTTACATGCCCACATAACCTTTCTCAAATCTGACTCTGGTGTTATTGCATACTCCTCAAATACAGTTCCCTGCATGACCTTGGGAAATGACTCGCTCTGGTTCAGATACCTTAGATCATGCAACAATTTTAGTTATATTTAACCTGAATGAAAGATGGTTTTTTGATCCATCAGCTTCAAAACTGATGTGAATTGTAGTATTTGTGGGAAGTCCAAGTAACACCTACACTCTAGTCCAGCTAGACTTTCTTTTGTGAAAGTTTCCTTGACCTAATAAAAATAACCCCTTACATCTATCACTAGAGTGATCACTTCCAGTTTCTCTGAGGGAAGCAGTGATGATGCTATTAATGCCTTTGGTTAGATTTTCTTTCAGGCTAGGAGGAGAGAAGGTTCCCTGTTGCAATAAATTACTGGCAATTTCTAATATTTTTTCTCCTGGATTTTCTCTAGCTAAACTAATGGTGTTCAGGTTAGAAGGCCGAATGTAGTCAATATGGAACAAAAAAGAATTGGCAAGTTCCCTCAAAGGGTCTAGAGGAATGGATATAAGGGCAACAAAAGCAAAAGAAGATAACTAATGAGCTTTTACCTCCTTAGTTTAGGTATGAAAGTTATAATTTAAGATGATTAGATTTATCCTACTGGTATCAATGGGATGAGACATTTTGTCTTGTATATAGTGCATGGTAAGTATGACTTGAACTCAAGAATAAGTTTCCAAATACATGAGAGTTGATATTAATAACTAGTTTCTATTTTATGTTGTCATAGTGCCTAGAAGCCTTGGTTGCTGACCAGGAAACCTGTGGAAGGCACCAAACAGAAACAGAGACTATACCACAAGTGGAGACAGATCTACAAAGGATATAATGAAGATGAAGTTTAAAACTATGGACTTACACACTGGAATGGACATCTGTGAACAGACCTTTGAACCTGCTTGACATGGACAATGTTGTTTCACCCCCATTAGTAATGTTAATGCATGTTAAAACCATTGTACCCCAGTTGTAAATTCATATTTTATTCCCTTATAAGTTTTCCCTCATGAACTCTCCTCCCTGATTGGTTGTTCAGTCCCCTGTTATGATTGGTGAGATTTTGCCGCAGTAAGGCAGTCTCACCACACCCCCCAGATCATCCTATAGGTTAAAAGTTAATGTATTCCCTCTGTTACTCCCCTATTGGTTCTCCCCTTATGTCAATCACATACTCCTCCCAGTTTCTAGACCCTTCCTTCCTTAACCCTATATAAGTCCTGTTCGCCCTTTGTTCTGGGCAGCATCTTCCCGGCTCAGCGCCAGGAAGTGCCCTCACGCCTCCTGTACCATCAATAAACCTGCTGCAGACTGCGAACCCCCTGAGTGCTGTCAGTCCTTTCCCACTCGGGCTGCGGCAGAAACCAGTGAGAGAAACAGCAAAAAATTTGATCTCGCCGTGAAATCCTTAACAGCTAAGAGGTAACATGGGCCATAGGTTGTCAAAAAGGGGTGTGGGTGAGAGGGACATGGGAACAGAGTATTATAAAGACAGTAGTGGCACACTAGGCAACTATATCAGTCAGCGCAGCACATCTCCCAACTACATTTTATTTCAGTCTGGCAATAAAAGAGTGCTTAAAGGAGGGAAATCTATGAGGATTTTCTGTTTGTGCGAAGCACATTCCAAGCGCGTTAAAAAGAGGGAGAATCAGGCAAGAGAGAAAGCATGGAAACCTTTCAAAAATTTAATAATTTGGTGCTGAAGACCATCACCACATGTTGATTGGAAGAAACAGAGTATGCACTTTTATTGAATGAAAAATGACAGGGTGGCCAGGGCACAGGCTGTGAAAGACTTGAAAGGGAATGAACAAAGTCATGAATGACGCCGTAGAGAAAGGGGAACTGATGCAGGGATGAGGGGGAAAAAAGAAGAAAGAAAAGAAAGAAGGACACAGACTCTCTGTTACTGAAGACAGGATGAGATTGAGTAGCACAAATGAGCAAAGTGGGAGATGAAGTTGGCTGGCTGCAAAGTTAAAACTTGAGTGATGTCCATTAGGAAGTGTAATAACCTGTAGCATGTGGTGGAAAGATATTTAGCTGGACTTGGAGACATGAGAAAATGTGATACAGGCAGTAATCTTGTATCATCTGGCAGGTGGACTGGATGGCTGAGATCTTTTCCACCTCTTAATATCTCTGCTACTTGTACAATCTCTACTTTAAGGCCATGCATTTGTACTGTCAAAATGTGTAAGTATACACTGATTTGTCACAAGACAGTGTATCATAAAGAAACACATTAGAAAGCTTTGCATATGAGAGAAATTTCCAACGTGTTTGTGTGTTTATACACTCATATATGTATAATTGAATCCCTCTATTCTGCAAGAAGTAGATGTTTCCATTGTGTTCAAACCAGGTTTCATTTGCAATATTAATGTGAAATTTGAGATAAATCTAAAATACAATACTTTTTTGTGTGCTATGCTTTTAAAAGACAATTACTGTAAAAAATCATACCTGAAAAAAACATATTTGTTGGTATGTTTGCTTACAACTGCGTACTTATCAGACCTAAATCTCAGTTTCAAAGACTTGATCAGGTGAAAATATAAAGTGTGTTTATATTTTAAAATAAATGATATATGGAACTAATGAAGATAGCACTTCTTCTTCCATCTATACTGCAGATCCTTTATCTGTGGTGCAGATTTCTAATGCATAGTTTGTGTTCCACTAGTAACAGAGATCTGCTTTTTAGCTCATAGATGGCAATTCTGACTGAAGTCTTGTGATTTATTCAAACTTTAGGAGAGCTTACTTCCTGGGGGTGTACAACCACCACTGATGTAAATACGCTGCGTACAGATGGAAAAATGAATGGACGGCTGAGCACAGAGACTTGGGCACATACACATTCTTGATATTGCCTTAGATAGCAAGAGTGTGACTTCACTGAGCTATGTCTGATTTTTGTTGAGTACTAAGATAGAAACTTTTTTACTTGCATCACTCACACTGTACCATGTCACCACACTGGGAACTGCCTCTATAATGGCTTTCTAAATCTGGTATATTCGTAGTGATGTAACATTCAATAAATTACTATTCAAGTATGTTTCTGAACATCATATTTTTGATGGAAGATGGGGAAAATATATTGCATTAAAGCAGGTAATTGTTCAAGCTTCCCAAGTTGGGAAATGCATTACAGTAAGAGAGCAGTTGTTCCCTCCGAGAGAACAATGCACTACACTATGCAGTGGGTCACTGAGGAGGATTTTGATTACATGGAACTTTTAATTGAAAGAAAGCATTGATGACCAAGACCAATGGGCTTTAGCAAGACTGACTAATCCAAGCATCCCCTAGGTTCATTGTACATCAGTAGATAGCATAGTCTTGCTGTGCACAGGTTGAGCTATTATGGTTTTCTCAAGAATTTTTCTCCCCCAGCCAAAAAAATTTCATGGTTAACGGACTTGAAAGGGGATTTTCAGAGGGTACTGAGACTGAATTCTGTTTATTACAGAGAGGTTTTCAACCTACTTGGTGTTCATGAATATTTTTTAATATGTCTCACTAAAAAACAATTGAAAGGTACACCCAGTAAAAAAGATAACACAAATCAAGTATAAATACTGAATGAGGAGAGTACTGATGTCTTGCCACCATTTGATATAACCAGAGCATTTTAATTTATATGTTCACTGTATCATTCACTCTCGTGGTGCTCCTTGATATTTCAAGCATAGGTATTTGAACCACCAACATTTAATGGACCTGGCCTACTGTTTTGTATTGATCCACCTCACTCCAAGTCAGTGGTGATGTTCTTTGCTCCCTCCCTGTAAAATGAAAAGAAATCAAATCAAAGTGTCCTAAACTTGTTGATTCAAAGCCATTTCATCTATCAGTACAGAGAAATTCTATCAGTATAGAAAAATAGGTTAACAGTCTTTTTCACAGTCTTTCTTCTGCAAACTGAATTGAAATGACCTGGCTTAAAGTAACCTGGATCTGAGTCATAAAAGCAATATGCTTCCACAGTGGAAAATCCAGAATTTATCACTCATGTATATTTCATCTGCACTTGGCTTTATTATTCTTAACTGCTAAAATATAAGAACTCATGGCACTGCTAGGATCTCTGAGAACTGTTTGGTGAGTAAATTTGTGGTAAGGCAAATTCAGGACTTAGGAACTGAATTTTTGGTACCCTCTAATTTAGAAAGAATGTGGCGTCTGAAGGAAAGAAATGTTATCCTTTTTCTTTCCTGTATTTCTGTTTGCTGCATAGTTTAAGCTCTATCTTTACTCCTTCTCCTTTCATAGGAAAAAAAGCATTTTCTTAGTCTGAAGGAGAATCTTCTGAAACTCTAAAGTCCTTTGGATCTTCCACACTTATGGGGAGATATTGAGCTATCATGATAGCAGCCTGTCCCATGAGAGGTTGTTTACCTGATCTTTTCTGCTTGGCTAGGGCAGTAAATTCATAAAGAGTCTCAGTCCTTATCTAGTTCAGGATTTTCATCTGTATACTCGTTTCACTTAATAATCCTACTGTTCTCTTTGAGATACTGCTTAAACACTAATTTTAGTAGGGGAAAAAAGGAATTGTAGCATTCCACTATCAACTATTTTTGACAAACTTGTAGGTTGCCATAATTCTCAAGGTTAAACATCTTGAAACATTTGAGTAGGAATGTTACTGAAAAATAATTTTATTTGAATTACAAACTGAATCTATCTGGACACGATGAGAAGTCTGACAAAAACACTAGTCCTTTTAAGAGAGAGGAAACTAAGACACAAGAACTAAGCTTTGCCTAAGATTGCTTATTTCTACCTATTGTTACAGGAATATTTAAAACATATTTTTGAATTGTGTATGTAGTGTATTTAATATGCAATTCGGAGTAAGTCTGGAATTAGAGTAGTGTGCTAGCAATTGAAAAAGCTCTTCTCAGAAGTCAAAATAAGCTGAAGAAAAAAAAATCAGAGCACACTGTAGTAAAAGTTGGACCCCAGTCAGTGCCAGACTGCCAACTGTTAATAAATTATGTCTTTGGTCTGTCATATTTGAGATGTTGAACTAGAATGTCAGTAAGAGTGTTCATATGCTGCTATTTGATTACAAAGACTCATTATTAAAGGTAGGTTGTCTATTAAAAAGTTTCTTCTCTTCCTGTCTTAGTTCGTGCTTAACCTAATGGATGTATGTCTTTCAACACAGTTGTCCTGGACCATTAGCATGAATAAGCTAGTTTCTCTGTAAACTTGTGGTGGCCAAGAATTGTAGGAAGTAACTAGAAGAAGTGGTGAAACTTATTTCAGCACATATTGAAAGAATATTTTGTCTTTTATAACCCAGATGTAGCTGCATTATTAAGCTCTTTGGTATTCTTGTGAGAATTCAAAGATACATCTACTGGTTTAATCAGAGAGCAGCAAATATATAGAGGAAAATCACAAAATAATTTTTCTACTTGTTGATGCAGAGAAAATCTTTGCTTCTATAATCTTTTTAAAGAAATTTTTGCCATGCAGATGGTGTGGCCAAAGAGAGGACAGAGATTTTTATCAGTATAGTTTTCAGCACCATAATGCAATCAGAAAATAGTCAAGAATTAAATCAGTGTCTTTCCATATAGTTACCACAAGAAAGGACCATGAGAAAACATTAGTCAGAAGAGACTGAGCCATAAAGTCGACCTGAAAGTTGAATAGAAATCGAAATAAAAGTTTTAAAAGTTTCCAGATGTAGTTATGATTAGTGTCACTAAACATGTGGAGCTATTCCTAATGTTGCTTCTGTTTCAAGTAAGAATTTTCAAGGTCTCAGTTTTCTGATTCTCCATGTAAAATTATGCTTGCATATATGCTCTGAGGAAAATTAGGATATTCATGTGTATATGTTTTAAGTTGTTCTCTGTCTAGAGTCTTGTATCGAGTCTCCTGGAAGATGAAGCTGGCATCTCTTGAGTACTGATAGTTCTTATCCCACACAGCAAAGTTTTCTCCTTTCCCTCTGTGTCTTTCAGCAGCAGTTTGGACCACCAGCGCTCAGTTTTAGGTACAACTCTCTTCCTGACAACTCTGTGCTGTTTCACATGAGCTCCTAATGGCTATTCATCACTCTTAGTGGATGAAATCTCCAGTTGTCATGCCTTGTGCTTGTAGACAGCAAAAAAAAAAAATCAACCATCTGAAGTGACCAGTCAATCTGCAAGGGCCAAAGTTAGATGATAAAGAAAAAAAAAAAAAGAGGAGCATTTTATTAGCAAAAATTTACTAGGAAAAATATTGTAATATACTTTCATAAAGCAATAAGACAAGAACCACAACATCACTACCATGTATCTGCAA